AACCCATGTCTGTAGCTGAATAGTTGAATAGGTGAATGAATGAATGACTGGTGGGAGATGAGCTGAGGGTTCTAGGCTTTGGATGGATATTCCGATTAATACCTGTCCTCCCTATGCTCCTTCAGAGAGGCCACTGCACCCCAAGGAAAAGGTCCTAGAGCAGGCCCTGCAATGGTGCCAGCTCCCAGAACCCTGCTCAGCCTCCCTACTCCTAAGAAAAGTCCCCCTGGCCCAGGCTGGCTGCCTCTTCACAGGTGAGCCTCTTTCCTCAACTCTTCCTCAGCCCAGCATTCTCTAGGTCTCTTCCCCAGAACTGTCCACTCAGCATAGCCCATCTGTGCCCAGGTGTCCGGCGTGAGACCCCCCGGGTGGGGCTGTTGCGGTGTCGTGAGGAGCCACCCCGTTTACTGGGAAGTCGCTTCCAGGAAAGGTTCTTTCTGCTGCGTGGCCGCTGCTTGCTACTGCTCAAGGAGAAGAAGGTGAGGCCTGGGACTAGAGGGGTGGGATGCTGAGTGGCCATGTAGCCGGAGCCGAAACTATACTAATTCTCTAATTCTTCAGCCCCTATTCTCACCAGACTCTTTTGTTTCCCCAATGACTTCTCTGACCCTGTGATCACATGCCCCAATATTTCCATGACCTCTTGATCTCACTAATCATGACCTTCTCATGTCTCAACTTTACTCACTCTGTTCATATTCTCAGAGCTCTAAACCAGAACGGGAGTGGCCTCTAGAAGGTGCCAAGGTCTACCTGGGAATCCGTAAGAAGTTAAAGCCTCCAACACTGTGAGTTTTCTTCCCCAGCCCACACTTCTAAGGCCTTACTGCCATCACCCCACTGGCTTTAATGGTCACCCAATCACTGGTCTCCTTTGCCTCCCAGGTGGGGTTTCACATTGATACTGGAGAAGATGCAACTGTGAGTACCTCCTGGCCTGGCTTTTCCTCTGGCTCAGCCCTGCATCTTGTCCCCTTTCTTCCTCCTTTCCTTCCACCATTCCTCCATACCTACAGCTATGAATCTTTCTCTCTTCTAAAATCCACTCTAATCACCCACAGTTACTTGGCCTGCACTGATGAGGATGAGATGTGGGATTGGACCACAAGCATCCTTAAAGCCCAGGTGAGGGGAAGGAAAAGGCTGAGGGCTGGTTCTGTGTCCCCTGGACACCCTAATACCTCTCAGTACCTCCAAAGTCCACCAGTGTCAACTGCTCATCCTCTCACCAGCATGATGACCAGCAGCCAGTGGTCTTACGACGCCGTTCCTCTTCTGACCTTGCCCGTCAGAAGTTTGGCACTATGCCCTTGCTGCCCATCCGTGGGGATGACAGTGGTGCCACCCTCCTCTCTGCCAATCAAACTCTGGTGAGACTGCTTCCTCCATCCTGCCTAACCCCCACCTGATCCCTACCCTTACCCTTGTCACACCGCAGGAAAAGGGGTGTGCCTGCCAGCCCAATGCCCCTCTCTGCTCACTGTGATCATCTACTCTACCTTCTCTGTGTCCCTACTCCCCACTTCCACCTCCTGTTGCCAGGCCTCACTGTGTCTCTGTGTCTCTCCCTCCCCTCACCCCCCCCACCTGTGCCCAGAGGCGACTACACAACCGGAGGACCCTGTCCATGTTCTTTGTGAGTACTGTGCCTGCTCCAGCTATGTGCCTGCCAGCCCTGTGTTTCTCTGTGTTACTGGAGCCCTGGGTGTTCTATGTGTCTGATGGGATGCAGGTTATCAGGGTATGTGTGGGTGTGGCAGAGAGCCAGCAAGCCAGTATGAACGAGGAAAATGAGGGATGGTAAGATGTCATGAGGAAAGGAGAAGGTAGTCATAGAATCTGAGAACTAGAAGGAGAGTGGTTAAGTGAATGCACTTTGGAGACAGACCTGAATTCAAGCCCTACCTCTAGCATTTCTTCACTGTGTGATTCTGGGCAACTTAACCCCTCTACAGCTCAGTTCACTCTTCTGCTGTGTAAGCCACTGCACAAGGTTGTTCTGAAATCATAAATATCAAGTATTTAGCAACATCTGGCCCCAAGGGCTCAATAATGTTACTGATTAATAATCCAACAACACAGCTGAGTGTGGTGGCTCATGCCTGTGATCCCAACCACCCAGGAAGCTGAGGCAGGAGGATTACAAGTTCAAGGCTAGCCTAGGAAGACCATGTCTCAAAATAAAAATAAAAAGGGTTGGGGGTGTGGCTCAGTGGTAGAGCACTTGGGAGTACACTCAAGGCCCTGAATTCAATTCCCAGTAACACACACACACACACGTCTAGTAACTCTAACTCTGTGCCTTCTCCCTGCTGCTCCATTCCCATACAGCCAATGAAGTCATCCACAGGGTCTGTGGAAGAGCAAGAAGAGCTAGAGGAGCCTGTGTATGAGGAGCCAGTGTACGAGGAGGTAGGGGACTTCCCTGAGCTCACTAAGGATACTTCTACTTCTTTTTCTACCACACGGGAGTGGACAGCCAAGCCAGAGACCCCCTTCACCAGCCAGAAGTCCTTTGATCAACCCCTTCTTTCCAAGACAAGCACCCTGGGCCAAGAGGAGAGGCCACCGGATCCCCCTCCAGGGCCCCCATCTAAGAGCAGTCCCCAGGCACGGGGATCCCTGGAGGAGCAGCTGCTTCAGGAGCTCAGCAGCCTCATCCTGAGGAAGGGAGAGACCACTGCATGCCCAGGAAGCACTTCCCAATCACCCAGCCCCCAATCACTCAGCCCCACTAGCCTTGCAATACAGATATCCAGCTTTCCCACCCAGTCCTCCTGCACTTCCAGTTCACCCTCCAGCCAGCCCCTCACATGATCCTTGGAACAGCATCTGAGGGGATAGGTACTCAGTGGAGGACCTAGGCTCTTACCTTGGTAGATACTTCTGGGAACTTTCTCTACTCTGGATGGAAAGACTCTAGAACCCAGTGCACTGGATGAGGCACTGGAATGGAGGGCCCTAGAGAACATGTGTCTCAGGGAAGATCAAGGCCCCATCCTGGGCCTCAGCCTGTTTATGTGTACCATGAAGTTACTGAAATAAGGAGAACAGTAAATAACAAACTGTTTTTTGGAGCTGTAAGCTCCATGTATTTTTCCTCAACAAGGGTAGCTCCTGCTTTATATATTTGATAGGTAGAGGTTCTGTGAGAGATTTGGGATAAAAGAATGGTTTTACTGCATTAAAGAAAAAAACAGGTTTGGAAGCCAGAGGCCTGGATGATGTCCAAGTCTATTCTATTCCACTTCCTACATTCTGGGACTACTCTGAAGCTCTGGAGTGGGGAAATTGATTGGGGTTGGGAGCTGGGGCAAAGGGGAGCCAAGAAAGGATGGGTCACTATTAATAAATCTTGGAACCAAATGGCTAAAAGAATGATCTTTTATTCATTCATTCAACAACTATGTGTTGAGCACCTAGTTGGTTCCAGGTCTGGGAATATAGTATGGACAAAACAAATAGGGTCCCTGCTCTTATGAAGCCTCCACTGTAGAGGGAAAACAGAAAGTGCACAAACAAATATGTGGACATGTGAGTTTAGTTCTGTGAAGAAAATAAACCAAATGAAGATCTTGAGAGAGAGTGTGAAGGTAGCCTTTACACTGGGTGGATGGGGAATGAAGGCCTCTGTGAGGAGCTGAAACAATGGTAAGAGGTCAGATAAGTAGAGTGCTGCAAGAAGGAGCTTTGGAGAGGGCAAACAGCACTTTCAGTGAGCAGAGACATGACCTGGTGTGAAGGACAGCAAGGATGCTGGAGGACAGTGAGTGGGTAGCAGGAAGAGAACGTCAGCGGAAGTGGGAAAAATGAGCAGGGGCCCAATCATTATAGCCTTGTAGGCCATGGATTCTATTTGGATTTCGGGCATTTGGATTTTGTTTTGAAGCAACTGTGTTTTAAGCAAGAAAAGGATGAGATTTTCTCTCTCCACTTTAGAAAAAAAAAAGTTAACCACTGGCTACTGTATGAACAGTGGGTTATATGAGAAAGCTTGTAAGCAAGGAGTCCAGGTATTAGTCCAGAAAATGGAGTCGGATGGTGGTCTTGGAGGGATGTGGATCAATAGGACTGTGGGATTTTTTGTTTTTGTTTTTAAATAGAAATTATAGGACTTGCTGATGGATGTGGGGGTAGGAGAAAGAGCACACTGACTCCCAGTTTTTTACTTTCCTAACTGGAAGGAGTGTGGCACCATTGAATACAATTACATGGGGAAGGATCAGGTTGAAAGGGCATTTAAAAAAACTTGTGGTACCTTTTTGATACTAGTGAAAGTGTTAGTGACAGCTGGATATGTGAGTCTGAAGTTTTGAGCCACGTCAGTGGAGTGGGGACCAGGACATGGGCCAAGGGGGCTTAGGTGTGAGGAGAATGAAGAAAGGGGATAAGGATCCTCAAAAAGCAGTGCTAGGGCTGGTAGATCTTGGGCAGAGTCTGGAGAAGGAAGACCCTAAAGGTGACAAGGGCTTTCTGGACCATAAGGCCCCACGTGCATCTCCCAAACTCACGTCCCTTCGTTAGTATCTGTCGGTATCCAGTGGGGCCCAGGATGTACCAGCCTTTTCCTTTGGGTCTGTTTCCTTCTTGACTCCAGGCATCTTTCTCACCCTGCTCTCGCTGGCTTTTCCAGTTTAGCGGGAATTAGGAAAAGGTCTGGGACCAGCCCTGTCTCCCTTCGTCAGACATATCTTCGCTCAGGTGTCCAATGACTCAGTTTCCCTGGTCACCTATTGAGTTCCTCGCCATTTCTCACCCTTACCACGGGGACTGGTGATATGCGTATGTAAATGAATGACTAGAAATAATTACAGGCTGAATCAGTGGCTACACTTGAAATAAAACCCAGGCGTCTTGACTCAGAAACCCGGGGTTCTCCCTACAGCACAGCAGACGCAGCGTCAGCCCCGCGGCCCGGACCCTTCCGGAGTATTTGCAGCAACAACAGAGGTTCAGCGACTCCGCGGCCCCCACGAGCTTCCGTGCTCTGCGCGCAGCCGGACAAGGCGTAGGCGGAGCGAGGGCGGAGCTGGGCCCGACCTGGGGCGGGGCCTCGCCGTGGGCGGGTCTTTGTCGAGTTCCGGAGTCGAGTCGCTGGCTGTCTTAACCAGAGTGGAGATGCAGCCGCCGCCCCGAAAAGTGAGATTGGCCTGGGAATGGGGACTTCTGGCGGTCTAGGGGAGCGGAGGGAGTCCTGGGGCTAACTGACCCCGGGTAGAAGACCGGGAGTGGGAAGGGGTCAGAACCCAGCCCAGAAGTAACCAAGGAAACAGCTCAGTCTCTCCCCGGCCCCGCCCCCTCGCCGCTCCCTGTGCGAAATGTTTTTTAGGTCCCCACCCCTGGGGTCTTCAACTTCCCCTCAATCCTACAGGTTAAGCCCGCCCAGGAGGTGAAGCTTCGCTTTCTGGAGCAACTGAGCATCCTTCAGACCCGGCAGCAGAAGGAGGCCGATCTGCTGGAGGACATCAGGTAGCCCCTGACCCCTCTTTTTTACTTACCCCTACCTTTGCTACAGCACGTACCTCTCCTCCCCCAACATACTTTTGCCGGGTCGGGGATAGGGGCAGGGGCTAAGAGCTCTCCAACCTATCCATTCAGGGCCCTTAACCTAGGCCTGCCTCTCCAGATACAAGAGATAAACAGGGACCCTCCTTCAAACCCTTTGACACCACATCACTCACTCTACCCATGGCCTACAATCAAGCTTAGGGCAGAATCCCCTCCCTCTTCCAGACCTGTTGGAAAGCTGGCAAACACTAAACCCAGGCCCTTGTCAGTCCTCTTCTCCAAGCCCACAGATGGTTCTCCAGGGGTGGGAAGATCCTGGGGCTCTGAGCAATGAGGCTGCCTGTGTTGCAGCTGCCCGAGGTGATCTCAAGGTCTCTGTCTCTTCCGTCTTATTCCCTCTGGGTCTAGCCACACTATGGGATGGCTCCCCTTTTTCTCTTGCTCAGGCAGAGGAGAGGATTGAGGGTGGTAAAACAGGAGGAAACAATCCCCTTTACCCCACCCCCAATCTCCACAGATCTTACAGCAAGCAGAGGGCAGCCATTGAACGGGAGTATGGGCAGGTATGGGACTCTTCCTTGGACTTTCCCTCTTGTTTTAGCCTCCTTTACACCACCAGCAATGTCCCTCCCTTATTGTGCTCAAGAAGAAATGCCTAAAGTCAGGAAGACTTGTATCAAATCTCTGATGTGCTACTTACTAGTTGTGTGACCTTGGACAAGTTATTTTATATTTCTTGGCCTCAGTTTTCTTCTCTGTAAAATGGGGATAACAATAATATCTTACCTTTGGGCAGGGTTGTTGTAAGGATTAAATAAGGTAATAAATATAAGGCAGTTGGCAAAGCAAGTGACACATATTGTGTATCCAAGAATGGTATTATTATACTCTGGTTCTGTATTCTCCCAGTTGGGGTGGGTCTTCAAAAAAACTGGGCCTGTGATGGCTTTCTCACCAGGCACTCCAGAAACTGGCTGGGCCATTCCTGAAGAGGGAAGGGCAACGCAGTGGGGACATGGATAGCAGGTGGGTCTAATGGAAGGGGAAGGCTGCAGGGACCAAAAAGTGATGGGGAGCTTAGCCTTAGAGACCTGTGGGGATGAAGGCCTAGTGAGGGGGGAGGGCACGTGAGCTGCAGGTAGAGCTGACACAGCAGCAGGAGAGGAGCTGACCCAGCAAGGACACTGTGGATGGGGGTGGAGGGCAGGAGTGATCCTGTGGTTGAGCTAATGGGCTGATCGATTGATGGGCTCCCAGACAAGTGGGGGAAGGAAAACACTCTTGTGTCTCATGGTGTTGGTGGGGGGTCTGATGAAGCTGTGGAGTGCTCCCCTCTTCAACACAGACCTTCTCTGGGGAGGGGCAGGACAGTGTTTGGTGCCTGGCGCTGCTTGCTGGATGCCACCGTGGCTGGGGGCCAAACCCGGCTCCAGGCGTCTGATCGATACCGTGACCTAGCGGGGGGCACAGGGCGGAGTGCCAAGGAGCAGGTGCTTAGGAAGGTATGGCTCAGTGGATGGGGTGAAGGAAGAGCTGGCTGGGCATTGGAGGTAGTCTGGGTCAAGATTTTCTGTGTCCATGCCACTAGGGAACAGAGAGTCTGCAGAGGGCGCAGGCAGAGGTGCTGCAGTCTGTCCGGGAACTGAGCCGAAGTCGGAAGCTGTATGGGCAACGGGAGCGTGTATGGGCTTTGGCACAGGAGAAAGCAGCTGATGTCCAGGCCAGGTGGGCTCATGAACAGTTAGTAGGCCAAAAGTTGGGTTATGGAGAGGTATGGGGTAGAGTCAAGGCATCAAAGCTGGGTCTGATACCTATTCCTGTTCCATACTTGCGCAGGCTGAACCGAAGTGACCATGGGATCTTCCACTCTCGGACCAGTCTCCAGAAACTAAGTTCTAAGGTCTGGGGGATGAGGACCTGAGTGGGGGCAGAGGGACCTAGTGGTTTGGAATCCAGTGTCATAAGCATAAGAGCCTGGTGGGATCCAGGCTCCTCTACTTCTTAGGTGGTTGACCAAGATTAACTTACTTATTTCTCTGAGCCTTATTTTCTTCATCTGCACAATGGGAATAATCCCTTCTTTTTGACTCCATTAATATGTGTTTATTGAGGACTTCTGTGCACTAGGCACTGTTCTACCCTCTAGGGATACAGTAAGGAACATGACCATGGAGTTCCTGCCCTCACAGCCTGGTCGAGGGAGACACAGTATATAAACAAATAATCAGATGAAGATGGAAATAAAACAAGTTGCTTTGATGAAGGGTAAAAAAACGGGTGAGATTTAGAGAGAAGTCCTCTTTGAACAAGTGGCCTGAGTGTCAAGAAGGGGCCAGCCATGAAAGATCTAGAGGGAGAACATTCCAGAGAGGGGGAATGGTGAATGGAAAGGTCCTGATGTGTGCTCAAGGAACTGAGAGAAGACTAATGTGCCTGGAGCCCTGTAAGGGGACAGCAGTTAAAAAGAGGTCAGAGAGGTTGCAGGGCCAACTCATGTTGATTTACTTCCCTATAGTAGATCACTATAGGGAAGTTTGGATTTTATTTTAGATGTATGTAGAAACCATTACGGATTTTGAGCAGGAGTTGTATGTGAAATTTTTAGTACCAGGCAAAACAGTATATCTTCAATAATGTAAGAATTCATTCTGGATCTGGGTTCTAGGTTGGCCTTGGATCCAGGGCTCTCTGTTGACACAAATTTTCCCCTCCTAGCTGTCGGCCCAATCAGTCCAGTACTCCCAGCAGCTGAGAGCAGCCCGCAATGAGTACCTGCTCAACTTGGTGGCCACCAATGCCCACCTTGACCACTACTACCAGGAGGAACTGCCAGCTCTGCTCAAGGCCAGTCCTTACCCAGATCACCCCTATCCCTTAGCAAGTAGGGAGGACCCTGTGCTTCCACTCCCCATGAGGCTGGCTGGTGCCAAGGACCTAGCCTGCTTAAAGAGGGTAGAAGACACATACTTGGCTTCTGGCTGCCTATCACATAGGATACTTAACTTCTTTGAACCTCATATTTCTCATCAAGGTTAACCCTAGTTCTGCCCACCTTGTGACACTAATGAGGTTCAAGGAAGAGAATGGATGTGAAAGTGGTTTTTAAACTGTTAAGTGGAGCTATGGGTGTAGCTCAGTGGTAGGGTACTGGCCTAGCATAGCCACTGACATCCTGTCTTCTCAGACAACATCCCCTCTACTCCTCTTTCTGATGGGGAGGAAGAAGTGAGAAGGCAGAGGGTGGATACAATTGTTCAGGATTTAATACCTAACACCACAAAAAAAATAAATAAATTGGTAAGTGGTATACATACATGAGAGCCTATAATTAGAAGCAGAAATAATGTCTTACTCCTCTCTTTCCCATCCCTCATGTCCACCCCCCACCCAAACCTGGACAGTGAGCTTTTGCTCTGTAGTAGAGGTCTGAGGGAAAAGTATCTTGGGGTTCTCTCCAGGCCCTCGTCAGCGAGTTGTCAGAACACTTGAGGGACCCTCTGAACTTACTGAGCCGTACTGAGCTGGAAGCTGCAGAGATGGTCTTGGAGCATGCCCGCCTTGCAGGGCAGGCAACCTCCCAGGTAAGGGTTAGGAGCTGTGAGAGCTCCCTTAGAGGTCCTTTTAATTCTTCTCTCTCAGTACAGATCTTCCTATTGAATATCTGTCCCTTTTCTTCTCACTTTGACCTTCTCCTTCTAAGAGGTGCTGGGGACAGAATTGGAGAGGGGGCCAGTGAGTGGGCCACCATGTCTTTTCCCACCCCCAGGTAAACTGGGAGCAGGATGTGAAGCTGTTTCTTCAGGAGCCTGGAGTCTTTTCCCCTACCCCACCTCAGCAATTTCAGCCAGCAGGGGCTGATCAGGTGAGACTTCCCTTCGGGTTGAAACCAAGCCAAATATAATGAGACTGGTTTAGGCCTCCTGTCTCATTATTCTTGTCCTGGTACTAACTCAGCAACTATTAACTTGGAATACCAGTTCACCTCCCTTTTACCAGGACATAAAAACACATCCCATTTCACCATTCAGTCACTTCACTTCCTTTTTCTTCTACATATCCCTCAACTTGGATCCTGTTCCTGGGACTCTGTGTGTTTCTGTCCATACAAATGCATACCAGTGTTCACAGACACAGATGTGTGCCCTCACCTTTGTCCATTTCCTTCGAGTTCAAGATAAAGAGAGGTAAAAAGAAAACTGGAGAGAAGGATGATCTCAGATATTCCTCACATCACCCATGTCCCATTTAGGTGTGTGCCCTGGAGAGGGGAACAGGAGGTATGGCTGGGGAGAGCGGCCTAGAGAAAGAGATCCAGCGCTGGACAAGCCGAGCCGCCCGAGACTATAAGATCCAACACCATGGGCATTGGGTGAGGTGGGGGTTGCAGGTGTTGTGGGTGAGCAAGAATTGCTAAAGATGGGGATCCTAGAGACATTGGTGTTGTCATGGGACTGCAGACAGGATGGGAAGGAAGGGCACTTTAACATAACAATATAACTCAGTAATTAAGAGCAGTGTTTACAGCGAGGCTGACCTGGGTTCAAATTCCCTTCTGTTGCTTCTGAGTTTTGTAATCCTGTGTAAGGGAATGAATGACTTCACCTCTCTGGATTTCAGTTTCCTCATCACTACAGTGGGGCCAAAACTAGCACCCACCTCCAGGGAAGATTAAATGACACAATGCGAGTAATGAAACTAGCAAGGAACCAGGCCCAGAGTAAGTTATGGCCCACAGTATCACCACCCACTCCTCTCTTCCCCACCAGGTACTGCAGCGACTGGAGCAGAGGCGGCAGCAGGCTCCAGAGCGTGAGGCCCCAGGCATAGAACAGCGACTACAGGAAGTGAGGGACAGCATCCGTCGGGCACAGGTGAGGCATAGCCCTAGGCTTAGAGCCACTAAGATTCTGTCTCCTCAGCAACATGCCCTCCATTCCTCTTTCTGATGGAGAGGGGGAGGTAAGGTGGCAGAAGGTAGACATAATTGGCCAGGCTCTACTAACTCTCTTCCACTTCGTGCCAGGTGAGCCAGGTGAAGGGGGCTGCTCGGCTGGCCCTGCTGCAGGGGGCTGGCCTAGATGTGCAGCACTGGCTCAAGCCAGCCATGACCCAGGCCCAAGATGAGGTGGAGCAGGAGCGACGGCTCAGTGAGGCTCGGCTGTCCCAGAGAGACCTCTCCCCAACGGTGAGCTCCTCCCCAATCCTAGCTGCACATACCCAGGAGGGTGAAGTTCCCCACTGGAAGGCAGCCCCTCTAAAATGGGATGACAATGGCACTTAACTCAGAGGGCTATTGTGCAGCTTAAATGAGACCATTTATATAAGTCTTTACATGATTTTTGGCAAAGAGAATCCTCAGTAACCATTTATTATGAGGATAAAATGATGGTTAAGAATTCAGGTTCTAGCCAGGCACAGCGGCATACATCTGTAATCCCAGCTACTCAGGAGGCTGAGGCAGGAGGAACACAAGTTTAAGGGCAGCCTCAGCAACACAGTGAAAACCTATCTCAAAAAATAAAAAGGGCTGGGGATATAACTCAGTGATAAAGTACCCTTGGGTTCAATCCCACTACCAAAACAAAACAAAAAAACTGAGGTTTGGGCTGGGGTTATAGCACAGTGGTAGAGCACTTGCCTAGCATGTGTGAGGCACTGGGTTTGATTCTGAGCACCACATATAAATAAAATAAAGGTACACTGACAACTAAAAAAATATTTTAAAAAACCCCTCATTTAAAAAAAATACTTCTGGAAGTATTCTGTAAATGGTTTGGGTATCAGCCACTCTACTCCCTAGCTGTATAATCTTAGAAAATGACTTTTCTGAGCCTCATTTTCTTTAAAAATAAAAAGAGGTTAATGGTTATGCAAATTATGAAGATTAAGTGAAACAATATACATGAGATAGTTAACATGTACTGGGTATACTTTTAAGCACTTAGTTGCTTTAGCTCTGCTATTATTTAGTATCATCTGGCTCTGTATGATTTTGGTTGTGAGCTATGATGATTGGTTCAGGGGTACTATCTTGGAGGAGGACCCCTGGTGTCCTTTTGAGGTAGGATGGAGAAGGGAGCCCCATAATGATGTCTGTCCTCTGTCCTTCTCCAGGCTGAGGATGCTGAGCTTTCTGACTTTGATGAATGCGAGGAGGCAGGGGAGCTCTTTGAGGAGCCTGCCCCACCGGCCCTAGCCACCAGGCCCTTCCCCTGCCCTGCACATGTGGTGTTTGGCTATCAGGTATGAATGGGAGTGGGGACTTCATATGGGTAACCATAAAGGACAGCTAAATCCTGAATCCTTCCTTGTGGGGCTCAGGCAGGGCATGAGGATGAGCTGACCATCACGGAGGGTGAATGGCTGGAGGTCATAGAGGAGGGAGATGCTGATGAATGGGTCAAGGTACGTATGGGACCCTGGGTTCTGATCATGGGTTGGGGGCAGTGGGAGGACCTTTCTTTGGTTTACAAGTATCTACCCAGACAAGCTAGAAACATAAGTAGAGGACAGCCAGGGCCATGGACTACCGAAACAAATCTGATACTTGTTCACATTGCTGGGTGAGCAGGCTCGGAACCAGCATGGTGAGGTGGGCTTTGTCCCTGAGCGGTATCTCAACTTCCCGGATCTCTCCCTTCCTGAGAGTGGCCGTGACAGTGACATTCCCTTGGGTGTAGAGCCCACAGGTAAGAAAGACAAAATCTGGGCCTGGGGTCCTGGGTATGAATATGAATTATTGGGTGGTTATGGTCCTGGGATGTCATGGTCCTAGGGTACTGCCACCCATTTCCTTCTCTTACCATCTCTCCTGGGCTTCTATAGCATTTCTCGCCCGCGCACTATATAGCTACACGGGACAGAGTGAAGAGGAGCTGAGCTTCCCAGAAGGGGCACTTATCCGCCTGTTACCCCGGGCCCAAGATGGAGTAGATGATGGCTTCTGGAGGGGAGAATTTGGGGGCCATGTTGGAGTCTTTCCCTCCCTGTTGGTGGAGGAGCTGCTTGGTCCTCCAGGGCCACCTGAACTCTGTGATCCTGAACAGGTGAGAATTCAGTCTCCTTGGCTCCCAGCTACCTCTGGGTAGATCCTCACTCTAAGAAGGCCCCATATTCATATTAATGCCTCAGCTTCTTCCCAGTTTTACCTCCTATGGTAGTTTGGGCCTTCCCATCTCTCCTGAGCAGACAGAGAAAAGGGAAATCAAAGGAAACTTCTCATAGGAGTTTGGAGGACTTTAGTGGTGGATAGACCTGAGTTCTCAAATTTTCTATTACATGGCCTTGGACAGTGACTTAACCTCTCTGAGCTAATTTCTGCATGTTTAAAATGGAGATAGTAATACCTGCTTTAGCAGGCTCACTATCATGACTAAAGATAATAAATGTAAAGCCCTTAGCACCATGGCACACTGGAGATGCTTAAATTGTGATGCCTATTGCCATAAGACAGCATGAAGAACATGATTGGGAGTCAAGAGACTTGGGTTCTAGCCAGCACTATGCCACTAACTCCATGAACTTTTGACAGATGGCCCAATCCGAATCTCACTTCTAACATGATCATAAAAATGCCTACCTCATAGGGTGGTGAGGATAGAATGAATTAAGGTATGTGCAATGCTAGCAGAACACCTAGACATAGTAAGTGTTCAGTACATATTGACTGTTGAAATAGACATCAGTTATAACCCCTACCTAAATACAAGCATTTGGCCATTTTCTGTATTGGAAAGTGAGAGGACAGGAATCAAAAGTGGGATGAGAGGAATAATTGGTGAAGCCTTCTCACATGCAAGGAATAACTCATGCCCACCCTACCTCCAGACACTGCCATCCCCTTCTCCTCCCAGTTTCTCCCCACCTGCACCCACCTCTGCCTTGGATGGACCTTCTGCACCTGTCCTGCCTGGAGGTAAGTAAAGGAAATTGAAAGCTCTGGGAGAATAAGAAATGAAAAGGAGGAATCTTGGACTCTGTTCATACTCCACTCCTGTGTGCCCTCAGTGCACCCACCTTCCATTCTTTGGTACCTTGACCAGAGATGATTATATAGCAGCTGCCAAATAAGTGATGGGAAGAAGAGCATGGGCTTTGGAGCCAGGCTGGCCTAGTTCAAACCTTGCTGTCACTTCCTAGTATATAACTTGAGATGGGAGGTTTAACTTGTATGGCACTTGGTTGATGTGCTTTAAAAAGTGAAGAGACAGGTACTACTTTATTAAATTGTTTAAGAGTTAGAAAAGGTGCCTATAGAGTATACAGCATTGTGCTTGGCACATAATAAACGTATAAATAGTAGCGATTTTATCACTATTATTATTTAAAAAAATAAGCCATATTCTCTGTGTTCTTCCAAAATGCCTTTGTTCTTAGTTGTCTTGAACCCTGAAAATACCTAACTTTGCTGTCATCCTTTTTCCTCTTGACATTCTTTTTTATTTTCTGTAGTGTTGGGGATTAATCCCAGGCACTTGTGAATGCTAGGCAAGCACTCTACCACTGAGCACACCTCTGGTCTCCACCCCAACCCCTTCCTTTTGCCTCTGGGAATGCTCACCTTTTCTAAAACCTTCTGGAACTTAACACTTCCTTCATAGCCACTGTCCCTGATCCCCTGAAATCACTGCCATCTCTAATACCTCTAGTTCACCTTGAATTACTTAACACTTAGACATTCATTGTGTTTGTTCATGTTTCATTACTGGATATCTAAGAGCACTGGGAGGTGGGCAGAGCTGTGTATCCCACCTTCCATTCTTTGGTACCTTGACCAGAGATGATTATATAGCAGCTGCCAAATAAGTATTTGTTGAGAATAAATGAATTGATGGATTTTACAGCTCAGGTTGGTGACTATTTATTAATTCAGCAAATACTTATAGAGTGCTATTGTCCTAAATGCTAGAAATGTTGCATTGAACAAAACCTGAAGACTGACTATGGTTCTTGTTTCCAGATAAAGCTCTGGACAGCTCTGGACCCTTAGACTTGATGGCACCTCGACTCAGGCCGGTAAGGGGCCCTGCCTTGGAGGGGACTGTGTGCACAGGGTTCATTCCAGCTGGTCTTGTATTGTCTACTAGGCTGAGGGAATGGACAGGGAAACTATTGAGAGAGGACTCTGGAGAAGAACTAACTGTGCATTTCCCACAGATGCGTCCGCCACCTCCCCCGCCGGCTAAAGCTCCAGATCCTGGCCATCCAGATTCCCTCACTTGAAGCTGGGGTATCACTGCCCCCAAGCAATGATGCTGCCCTATCTCCATGATGTCAGAGACCACCCCTCAATGATCCACAGCCACACAGCCAAAAGCTGGAATCTTTCCCACATCTACTTTCATCTCCAGGGTTAGAAACTTCCCCTCTCCCCATTTTTGGGGCAAGAATCCATTTCTCCAGTTGTCCTCCTGCCATCTTTAGGGCTGTAACTACCCCTTCATTTGCCATTGCCCCATCTCTACGGTGGTGAAATACCCTGAAATCTTGGGGCTAAATCTCATTCCCGAAGTCCTGACTGGCTCTGGTCCATCTCATCTCCACCCTGGCTCTGTAGCCCACCCCACTTTGGATGCCAGGGTCACTTGGGTTGGAGCCGGGACAGGAGCTAGCCTTGGGAGTCAGAAGGAGCCAGTATGCGAAGCAGCTGTAATGGTCTGAGCGGATTTATTGACAGTGAATAAAGGGCACGAAGGCCAAGCCAGGGCCTGGACCTCTTTTGCCAAGAGGGCAGGGAGCCTAAGGTGCTATTGCTTTCGGGCCCCACCAAAGGCAGGAACCTGGTCCCAGCTGCCACGCTCTATCAATATGGAGCGAGGTGTTGGGGAAGGCAGGCAGGGGAAGGGAAGGAAACCGAGGGTCCACGAGTGGAGGGACTTTTCCCAAGTTCCCTCAGCCTGAGACCGTGCAACTCCAGGTGAAAGTAGAGCTGGTCCCTCAACTGGGAGCAGTGCTGTCCAGTGAAGGGGAGGGCCTTCATGCCCACCTACTCCCTGACCCTGCCAGCTGGTGGTCCATCAGCACAATGAAGAATGAGGCTTGGAGAAGAGGAAGGGGAAGAGTTGCTTCCTGTTTAAGCTGTGTCCTAGCTTTTCCCCAGGGGCAGCCCATCCTTCCCTGTTCTCTGGAGCACATACCCACTCCCTACCACCAGCCAAGGAATTTGTAGCAAGCACAGGCTTAGCCTAGAGCTCACCCTGGAGTTTCAGGAGATGATGGGCTAAGTAATTTAGGTAGGGGGTGGGAGGACAAGATTATCTGATTTGGGGTTCAAACTCACCTCACATACCCCCTGCTCCCTGTGGTGGAGACACCTGAGAGAAAGGGGAGACATCAACAATGGGAACAGGAGGTGATTCATATCATTGCTCTCCAGAGTAAGGGGCAATAAAACTGAGCCCAGTGCAGCCCTGGCCGCATCTTCATACCTGGTGATCTGAGGTGTCTGGTTTGCTTTGCTGTCCATTTGCCTCTTGACTGGGCAGCCTTGGACTTGGGCTCAGGATCCTCCCTCTGGCCCCCAGTGTTGGTTCTGCAGAGGCCCCAGAGTTCCCCTCAAGTGCCCAAGGCACTAGGCTGTTGTCCTTGAGTCCTCCATTCTGCACTGGGGGACTGGCTAATGACTGGGGTTGTGGCTCCTCAGGGGGCAGCCTCTCAATGACAGGCATCCCTGTCCTGGGTAGCCTTCCACCAGACCCCTGACCAATTCCTGGGTCCTGCCCCCCACCAGAGCCCCAGCTTCTGTCCGTAGGGGAACCATCACGATGCTCATGCAGCCCATAACGCTTCTCAATGTGTGTCACCCGGAACCTGGGAGGGGAGAGAATACTAAGGCTTAGGACCACAACTCAAGAGGCTGCCTGGCATTCTCCTCTGACCATAGACATTCTAGGTTTTATGGCCACTTCCCTTTGGCCTAGGGTGGAAGAGGTCTTCTCAGATTGTGGGACACACCATGCAGCCTGAACCCTGCTGCAGCTCCCAATCCAGCAGGAAAGAGCTAGGGCAACTGATCATTGGGGCCCCCACCTCAACCTCCCTTTCCTGGGGCACTCTGTCCCCACCTGCCCACAGAGAACACAGTGGTCTCTCCAGGTCGGGGGCGGCTTTTTCCTTCCTTGGACCTTCCCTGACGAACAAGTGGGGGCCTCTTGTTGCGGCTGCAGTGGATGCAAGGGGCTGCGGAGCCCAGATGCACTGTGTGGTGATGGGAGGGAGCTCCATCTTGTATGCTGGAGGTGGCATCCACGCTGGACAGTAGGGGGAGGAGAGCAAAAATGATATTTCTATTCCCCTTCTTGTCCCATTTCCTCTGGTTCTTTCAGCATGCTTTTCATACTCCCCAAACCCCACTTTTCCCAGGTCCTAACATTATTTTTTCTAATAAATTTAATATTAAGTTATGAGTGACTATGTGTTTTTCCTTGTGGCCCTGTTTGCTAAAAAGAGGGCAATGCTTAAATCAAAAGAGTGGCCCTAGATGTGAATACTGTTAGACTTGTGATATCTAGATGGGAAACATGGTTTGAAGGACTTGGGATTTCTATAAAAAATTTTTTTCCTGTAAGTTAGCAAGCTTCCCCTCCCCCAAACCCCAAAACAATGATACTGGGAGAAGACTGTGCTGGAGGAGAGGGTACTCTCCAAGGCAAGCTAAGTCATGCTGGCCCTTGTTTCCAGCTCACCTGGAGAGCTGCACTGTCCCTTCTCCTTCACTGTCCCCCAGCATCTCCTTCAAGGCCTCAGCATTGGCTGAGGGGAGAAGGAAAAGAGGGAGTCAGTGGAGGGAGAGGTCAGGGCAAGAGTCAGGGTGGTAAGGAGCATTGGGTCAGCTACACCCACCTTCATTTTGGATGATGCAGCGAACAATCCTCTCTACTGTGTCCTCATTCACGTCATCATCCTCAGCTGAAGGATGAAAGAGGTTGGCAAGGAAATGGAAAATGAGTCAGCTTTGGGGGAACATGACCTGATGGCCCCCATGGCTGATTCTCAAGACATCCATTTACCTATTTGCCATGATGGCTGGACTTTATTATTTCAGGGGCCAGAAAAGATGGGGGGAGGAAATAGGAGCCTAATACTACCATTAGTGAGCCCTTCCTGCCCATGCTTTCTCCAGCATTGCTTTCAGGGTGGTGTCACTCTACTTGCTGATTCAAGAATGCATCACTAGGCTTCTTGCAGGGTTGATCAGGATTTGGCCTGGGTCTTTCGGCCAGAAAGGCAGAAAGAGGTGTGGAGAGAAGGGTAAGGGAGAAAGGTGACTGAGCCAAGTTTCCAGGCTCCTCACTCACGTGGCTGAAGCTGGGCATCGTCAGGCTCCGAGCCCCTAGACGTGCGGCACCGGTAGCCTTTCTTCTTGAGCACGTGGCAGATCATGAAGCCTACTAGGCCCATGAGGAAGAAGACCAGCACAAGCAGGAAGAGCATGTACAGCCCATGTTGGGGCGGCTCCAGGTCAGGCTGTGGTTCCGACATGAGGCCCTGGGGGGCGAGCGCGGGCCAGGGCGCCTCCTGAGTTTAGGGGGCTGCAGCTAGGGATGAGGGAGGGTTACAAATGGGGTCCTCGAGATCTGAAACAGACTTGCCTCCAAGCCCGGCCCCACCCCTAACCCAACCACAGGGAGCTGTCCGGGCCAAAGGTGCTAGTCAGCCAAGACCGCCTGAGGTTGCAGGCCAGACCGTGGCTGTGCAAGCCCTCTGACACAACCGGAGTCCCACTTCCCCGACGCCCAGAGCGTCCCCCTTTTCATCTGGCCCCGAGGATCCGTCCCTCCCAAGGACACTGCAGATCGAGATGGGACAAAATTCTTAGGCAGCGGGCGCAGATAACGCGCCTGAGTCAGCGTCCGCACCTCCTACGCGTTGGCCTGAGCCAGGCCTCCTGCAGCCCCCTCCTCTCCCAGGTTTCTCAGATCCCTCCTCTCCCTTTAGGTTCCTCCCACCCAGACCATCTGGCCCACCCGGTACCGGTGGTTTTGTTCTGGCTCCGACTCCGGCTCAGGTTCCCGCTCCAGGGGCGTCCTAGTCCGGCTCGGGGCCCCCGTCGCCCTCCCGGCGTTCATCCCTTGATTCCTCCCCCTCCCCCCTACACCGCCTCACCGGCTCCGGGCTGTGGCTGCGGATACCGGTGCCGCGGCAAGCGGGGGGAGGGAAGGATGGAGAGGGAATGCGGACTGGTTGGGAGCCGCGGCAGGCGGACCACTCCAGCCCTGGGGAATGGAGAAGGGAGGCGCCCTGGGTTCCCAAATCCTTCTCTCCTTGCCCGCCCGGGACCAAGGGGCGGAGCGCAGGTGTGCGGGGCGCAGAGCGTGAGCCTTGCGCGCTTGTGAGCGCGAGTGAGATGCGCGCGTGACTGCGCCGTCCCCCCCCACCATCGGGGGGAATGTGCGGCGCCGAGTCTGGGTCCGCGTAGGGGACAGGAGGTCAGGCGGGGGTGCTCTCCACTGCTCTATCCGGCACGCCTGGCGTAGCTCCTGTCCTCAGTTACCCTAGACGAGTGATAGCCAGGAATCTTTCCAGCGGGCTGGGGAAAATTGTCTTTCTGAGAGGGACACCGTGGCCAGATCTTCGGAGCTTCCTAGACAGATGACCACGGCCTGTTTCCCGTTTGGGGCAAGTGGTTGGACGGGATGGTTCGGCTTTCAGAAGATATCACCCCCCGCCCAGAAAGAATCCTAGAACCGATGCCACGGTCCCCAGCCCAAGCCGGGTAGCTCACGCCCCAGAATCTGGAACTAAGAAGCTAATCGAGGGGCGGAACTCCCGCAGGGGCGTGATGTGGGCACTGTCTCAGAGAGGCGGGGCCTAACCTTCCCTGTTCCGCAGAGGCAGGCTACGTGCTTGCGTAGTACGCAGGGGCCGGGGGCGGGGCTGGTGTCCGGCGGGCGGCGGAGGCGCGGGGCCTGGTCCCGCCGGCGCTATGGCCAAGACTGTGGCCTATTTCTACGACCCTGACGTGGGCAACTTCCACTACGGTGAGGGAACGGGTTTGTGCGCTAGGGGCTTGGACTCAGAGGTTTCGAGGCAAGAGCTGTAGCTTCAGGGATGAGAACTGACCAACTCTCTTTTCCCCACCCCCAGGAGCTGGGCACCCTATGAAGCCCCATCGCCTGGCATTGACTCATAGCCTGGTCCTGCACTATGGTCTCTATAAGAAGATGATCGTGAGTCCAGCTGGCGGGTTGGGAGCGAGCTGTGGCCTTAGGGATAAGTGGATGGGACCTAATGCACCAGGTGCACCCGCCCCTAGGGTAGGGGGCAGTTAGAAGTCGCCTGGAGCACTCCCTGTTTGCAGAGTTTGTGGGTGGGCGTTCTCTGAGTTAATGGGAGTTACATTTTCACCTCAGGCTAGTCATCCTTTGACATTAGGCACACCAGCCCTTGGTGTAGGGTTAGGGCGGTGTGAGGCCCTCTTGAAGACTGATGTGTTTCTCTCTGAATTTATTTTATGTACTATGTATTTATTTTTGCAGTCCTGGGAGATCCAATCAGGGCCTTAGGCATAATAAGCAAGCTTTCTACCTATGAGCTACACTCCCAGTCCCCCCTGCCTTTTAGGGTGTGGTTAGTGTTGTGGCCTCAGGGATGGGCGGGTCTGGATCTTTGTATATATCTCCTCCCACCTCTCACTACCTGCTAGGAGCTAGAACTTTAGGGACAGCTCTGCAGCCCTTTGGGTAAATTATGTGTATATGTGTGGAGAACAAGAGATGCCTTATGTATTCCTTTTTCAACCTAGAGTACCTCTACATAGTATCTCTGCATAGTTAGGCTTAATCATTGCCCAATCCTCCATCTCCCATATATATGCATACTATTTATCTCCAGCTTGAAATTTACAGCTGTGAAATGAGATAATAACAGATCTCACCCTTATGTATTTTGAGGGAAATGAGCCAACAATATGAGTGATCTCTGCTTTTTCTGAGGCACAGACAAGTGGATTGGTTGTAGAAAGACTGAGGTATTGTTAGTGCAATAATCTCTGAATCCCTTGAGATTATGTGCCTCTGTGTCCCTGCATGCATTTTCTAGGAGAAAAAAAAGCTCTTTCTTCTTGCCCAAATTTCAAAGAGGTTCATGAAACCTCCCCCTACCCAAGGACGATAAATCTTTGGTTTAGCACCTTGGATTTTAACTAGAAGATTGTTATGTATCCCTTATGTCTGATTTCAGAATGAAGAACCCAAAGGGCAGAATCAGAGTCCAGGGGAGATGAGTATGGAGAGAACCAGGAATAGGAGATCCAGGGATCAGGGCAGGTGAATCAGGGTTCAAGGTTGAGAAGGTAGGAGAGGCTGGGCTGGAGGTGGAAAGGAGAAGTGGTTGGGTCATTATCAAGACCATTAACAGGAGCTTCTTTTCTTCACTGACCTTATCTCGTAGAATAACAAGGATTGGGATTGTTGTATGTGGTTTTGGGCAATCTGCAGGGCTGGGCTCAGTGTAGCGGGTCTCAGCCTCATCAGTGGGGATGATCCTGCTAGGTTCATCTTGTTTCTCCATCCCAAGGTCTTCAAGCCATACCAGGCCTCCCAGCATGACATGTGCCGCTTCCACTCTGAGGACTACATTGATTTTCTGCAGAGAGTCAGTCCCACCAACATGCAGGGCTTCACCAAGAGCCTTAATGCCTTCAATGTGGGCGATGACTGGTGAGAGAGGGGAACACTTGGATTTGGGGATGTCAAGCACTTTGGTGTGAGGCCCTTCAATGAGGTTTTGTAATAGCACTGGGAAGATATGAGGGGGGGGGACCTACTTGTCAGTGAATCATCATTCGATCATTTATTTATTCAGTAAATATTTATTGGTGATTTACTTGAGGCCAGGCCCTGTACTAAGTGTGAGGGACGCAATGATGAACAATAACAGCAAAATTTTAATATTAATCTGAATATTAAATTAGATCTGAAAAAAAAGAATTAGGGGAAAGGTGTTTGGCAGACGAGGGAAGGGATGTATTGGGTAATAGAGACAACATGTCTGTGGTAGAACAAAGTATGACTCATTTGAGGAACAGAAAAAGCCCAAGTGCAGCTGGGCATGGTGGCTTGCACCAGTAATCCTAGTGACTTGGGAGGCTGAGACAGGAGGATCCCAACTTTGAGCCAGCCTCAGCAACTTAGGGAGGCACTAATTAATTAGACTCTGGCTGGAGATGTGGCTGAGTGGTAAAGTACCTCTGGATTCAATCCCCAGTATTAAAAAACGGAAGAAAGAAAGAAAGAAAAAGCCCACAGACAGAATATGAAAAGGAAAGTAATCTGATTAGAGGCTAAAGAGATAAAGGAGGCCTTTTGAACAGCCCTGTTATGAATTGAGGTTTTTGTTCTTAGAATAGAGGAAAGTCATTAAAATGTCTTAAAAGGCAAGGGAGTGATTTGACATGACCAGGTTTACATTAAGCTTGTAACGCATGTAGATGACTCAGGGTTAGATGCTGTGGAGAAGGGGGTGGAAAGTAAGCCATGATCCTTGCTTACACTCTAATATAGGTCCATGAAAAATAATAACCAAAACAGGTACCATGTACTCAATTCTATTTAAACTTTTTAAAGGGAAATTTTAAACATTTCTGAAAGTAGAGTAGAACATGTATCTATCACATCATGTATCCATACCCCTCTTCAACTCTTTTTTTTTTCTTTTTTGGTACTGGGAATTGAACCCAGGGGCACTCAACCACTGAGCCACATCCCTAGCCATTTTTATTATTATTTTTTTTTTTTTTTTTTTTTTTTTTTTAAAGAGAGAGGTGAGAAGGAGAGACACAGAGAGAATTTTAATATTTATTTTTTAGTTTTCGGCGGACACAACATCTTTGTTTGTATGTGGTGCTGAGGATCGAACCGGGGCCGCACGCATGCCAGGCGAGTGCGCTACCACTTGAGCCACATCCCCAGCCCCCATTTTTATTATTTTGAGACAGAGTCTCACTAGATTATTTAGGGCCTTGCTAAATTGCCAGTGTTAGCTTTGAATTTGTAGTCCTTCTGCCTCAGCCTCCTGAGCCTCTGGGATTATAGGTGTGCACCACTGTGCCCAGTATATCCAGCTTCAGCTCTTATAAGCAAGTGGCCAGTCTTATGTACCCCTTTGTGTTAGATTATTTATCTCTAAATGAAACTTAAAAAAAATCTCAACCATACCTAAAGATGAATAGTAATTCCTCAATATAATCAAATATACAATCAGTATTCAAATATTGTCTCATCTCATATACAGTTTTTATACAGTTTATTAATATCAGGATCTAAACAAGGGCCATGCATTGTGTTTGATCGATGGGACTTGAGACTTTTAGTCTGTGGCTTTTCCTTCTCCCCCTTGAATTTATTTCTTGATAAATAGGTTTTACAGATTGCTGATCCTGTAGAGCTTCCTACAATGGCTACCATTTATTAAGTACTTATTTTGCTAGTATTATGCTGAGGGTTCCTAGTGTATCCTCTAATTCTCATGCTAACCTGGAGATATAATAGGCCTTTTCCTGATGTTTCACACAGATAAATGGAGATTTGGGAAAATTTAGGTAACTTACCACATTTCACATAATTAGTCAGTGGTGGTGGCAGGATTCAGGTCTAGAGCCCAGATTTGTTTTTGTTTTTGTTTTTGTTTTGTGGTGCTGCATCCACAATCTAAGAGTCCAGATTTTTGAACCACTAATCTATTTCTATGAAAGATCCTATTGACAAATGCAGTCCAAGCTGCCAGATAGAGGCCAGTTCCTTTGGCTGGCATTGAACACCTTCCCAATCTTATTCCCATACTCAGCTGCATGGGATCCCTTCCTGGAATGTCCTTGGATGTCCTGTTCAACTTTTTCAAGGCCTTCTCAGCCTTCACAAAATCTTCATACCAGCCCACAAAGCTCTGTCCTGTACATACTGCCTGCTTAATTAGTTTCGTCATATGCTGTCTTGGGAAGTTTCTTAGTTTTTTGTTGTTGTTGTTGTTGTTGTTTGTTTGTTTGTTTTTGGTTTTTTTGGTACTATGGTATTTTTGGTACTCAACTTTACTGCTGAGCAACGTCCCCAGCACCCCCCCTTGCCCCCCTGCCCCCCCTTGCCCCCTGCCCCCCCCCCTTTTTGGTGGCAACAATTTTTTTATTATAGTTTTAAATGATTTTGCTTTCCATATAGAGAACAGTAATATTTCTACCCAGCCTTTTTAACTTTTTGTTTTGAGACAAGGTCTCACTGAGTTACTTAGGGCCTC